ATTAAGAAAACAAGAAATATAAATTATACCAACCTGTATTTCACTCTAGTAGAAAAGAAAGAAAAATTAAAAACTGGAATTTATCTGTTCTATGTCCCTCTGAGTAATTGTACCCTTTAAACTGTCAAAACCTTTCAAATCAACTCTGAGAAATTCACAGGTCTTTTTTTTTTTTTTTTTCTCCCAAACCATTATTTGAAGAAGACTCATTTTTCAGCTTTAAAAAAACCCACAGTTCAACCAATTGTGACTTTAGGAAAGACCATCCCTATAATTCAATGGCGGGTGTTAGATCATTCCTGTCATATTTGTTTTTTCCTAAATTGTATTATAGATTTATAGACCATTAGTTTTCTCATTTAAATTGTTTCACACTTTTCATGTCGGGAATTTCATAGCTGCCTGTACTTTTAATATGGGGTCTCTCATTGATGGAGTGACCTATAATTGCTTATATCTTTTTCATTTGAAATCTGGTGTATAGTTCTTTCATTAGCAATCATGCCATATCTTCTTTATACCTGTCAATTTTCAAAATCTCCATGTTGGATTTTAATTGAAAGAGGACCTAATGCTCCTTTTATATTGTTATTAGTTTTTTTTTAATCTACTACTATGTTGTTTGAATGAGTATAAATGTGCTTAAATAACATTTTAACTCATTTTTATGCCTGCTTTTAATTGTTCAATTTGTATAATGTGTATATAATCAAGAAAATTCATGTCACAACTTCTCATGGGGGAAACCCCCCATCGTGTTATTTAGAAGGCCTGCTCCTTATTTTCATAGAAATTAGAACATAAATCTTGGCATTTGTTTTCTCATTTGAATATCAGAATTTGTCATGCCGAAGCCTTTTATTCTCACGATACGCTAAGGGTTCTGCTCATTGTTGATTATAATACAGTGACCTATAGTTGTTAACATTCTCGTCCTTTGGTCTTGGTTAGAAAATTTGTCGTGGCAATCATACGACATCTCCTTATTATGGAACGCCAAAACTGTCTTATTATGCCCATTTTCATTATATGATGTGCGTTTACCTTAACATGATGTGCACTTGTCAGTATATGATGTGCAAACACCTTTGTATGGTGTCCAGTTGACAATATATGATGTGCAAATATACTTATATGATGTGCAAATATACTTATATGATGTGCAAATGTACGTATATGATATGCACATGTACGTATATGATGTGCAAATATACTAATATGATGTGCAAATGTACTTATAAGATGTGCAAATGTACTTATATGATGTGCAAATGTACTTATATGATGTGCAAAGATCCTCATATGATGTGCAAATATACTTATATGATGTGCAAATATTCTTATATGATGTGTAAATATCCTTAGATGATGTGCATTTTTCCTTATGTTATGTGCAAACATCTTTATATGATGTGCTCGTGTCATTATAGTACGTGCATGTAAAATTACATGATGTGGTTTGGATTAAGACTGACCCCAAAGCGGCCACTTCCATTTTAGACAAAACCCATCTTGAAATTAGCACAAATGCTAAATTGTGAAGATTTCAGTAATATTGCATGAATTCATGATGCTAGTACCTGATGCATGTGCATTGTATTGTCAAAAACAGCCCGTATTTATGGAACATAACTATTCTACTTTCCAATAAATAGCTAACAGTTTTCATTTCAACAAATCTGTAGAATTGCTATATTTTGGGGCCAAAATAGGGTCTTACCGGGCCTACTCCTTTGACGAACAGAGTGTCCAATAGTAATTGCTTAATTTGTCTGTTATATATATATTCAAAAAAAATAATAACTAAGATAATTAATTAAAACCATTAGATTAATTTCTTTATGAATTTCCAAGCTGATTTAGTTCGAAGAATTGTAAACTTCCTAAACAAAAATACGAAAACATATAAGTATAAAGACGTATTGTAAACAAGCTGGCATGTCAGTAACTACTGGTAGTTCTTTGTTAATCAATATTAATCAGTGTCATTTTGCTTAGTTTCTTCTGTAGCCCATTCTAACATCGGACTCAGACTTCTTTTAAACTGAGTTTTAGTGTGCGTATTGCTTTGCACATTGGCTCTAGGTATAAAGGGATGAATAATTATGTTTAACCTCATCGCGTTTTTGCGCCTGTCCCAAGTCAGGAACCTTTTCACTTTGTTAGATTTGTAAGCTTTTTTTTTTTAATTTTGGTTCATTATATGTTTTGGAATTCAGTGTGACGTCCATTTTCGCTGAACTAGTATTTATTATTATTAAATGGCCAGCTGAAGCCCGCCTCCGCGTGCGGGATTTTCTCGCTGTGTTGAAGACCCATTGGTGGTCTTAGGTTGTTTTCTGCTCTTTGGTGTCGGTTGTTGTCTCTTTGACGCATTCTTGTTTCCATTCTCAATTGTATTATAAAAATGTCTAATTCCTTTATTGTGCTGTGTGTTCTGTTTATGTTAACATGAATTGTGTTAATGGCTGTATTATACAGAGACACACATTTATAATCACAACAAAAAAAAAAAAAAAAAAAAAACATCAGATGTCGAAGAGAATTGTTTCAATTATATATAAAACATATTAACGTGCCATGTGTATTATATATATATATATATATATATATATATATATATATAAGTCTAGAGATTTGCACAACGATACTAATATAACATGGTATTATACGAAGATGTTGTTATTAAATCGTGTTGACAAATATTTCGGCTTAACAAATAGCCTTCTTCAGTGTCAATAATTTTAACAATACTGATTATACAATGTTATATGTATAAAAATAGCTCTGTAATACAGGTACGTTTCGGTCTATTGATTTAATCCAAAATCCTGAACATCATAATATAAAACAAAATTCAATACTCAAATATACGTGACTATGTATGTTTACATCCCAAAATGAGTGAACAATAAAACTTAGTATTTTTTATTGATGCCGTTTGGATGATGTACATTTAGTTCCTTTATCCAAAAGCTTTCCAGAACCTGTCGCTGGTCATCACTCCAGTGAAAGTTCTGTTCAATCACTAGGATCTTCATGCGGTTAAAGTCATCAAGTTTGTGACCAGACTGTCTGAAACTGGGAGAAGTGGCTTCTTAGAAATATCACTCCTATGGCCATTGAGGCGTTTGTGGAACGGCTAATTTGACTCACCAACATATTGGAGGCCACAAACTGAACATTCTAGAATTTATATATATATATATATATATGGTCGTGTGGTCTAGCGCGTCGGATACAGTGCAGGCGATTTGGTGTCACGATATCTCAGTAGCATGAGTTCGAATCCCGGCGAGGAAAGAACAAAAAATTTTCGAAAGCAAATTTACAGATCTAACATTGTTGAGCTGATGTTTAGACGAGTTATATATATATATATATATATAAGTCTGAAAATTACACCCAACAGTGTTAGAATTAGACTTTTATGCTGACAAATTTTTGTCCCTCAACGGGATTCGAACTCACACCTTTGATACACTACAGCACCAATCGCTTAGCCTCATGTCCAGCGCTCTAGACCACACGACCACATCCGCTATATAAAAATATAACTTCAATAGTCGTAGTGTTACCTTGTCACGTAAGGCGAATCTAGAGATAGACATAAGACATGTGTTTTAAGCGTGTGAAGATGTTATATTATTATATATATATATACAAGTCTAAATTGAAAACAACGTTCAAACCTATGATTGCGTTGGATAAAAACCGCAATTTTCATACGTTTGCATGCAAAACAAGTTTCTTGTTAGAGGGGTCTAAATACAGCACAAACAACATTTTCCAAAAGACCAAAAAAAGTGAAAAAATATATTTTATCAAAACGCATTTGACTAACAGGTCGAACAACAAATGTTCTTAATCCATGCTGACTGCCATTGACGATTGCCAAATAAACGGATCACCGATGTAATAAATGGATCTTAATTTTAAATTTAATACTAAACAGAAAACAATAAACTTGCGGAAAAGATGATATACCATAAACAAAAGGTGCAAAGGTTTTTTGTACACCATATCCGGATTTCGACAAATAATGTCTCTTCAGTGGTATTTGGAAAACCCAACAATTTACTTCCATTTAGGATAGACTCTTGAAGAATTCAAAATAGGATGAACGGATCATATAAACCCTTAGGCAAATATAATACAAGCCCAAACGAAAAAATATAAACAAGTCTAAATTGAAAACAACGTTCAAACCTATGATTGCGTTGGATAAGAACCACAATTTTTATACGTGTGCATGCAAAACAAATTTCTTGTTAGAGGGGTCTAAATACAGCACAAACAACATTTTCCAAAAGACCAAAAAAGTTAAAAAGTATATTTCAACAAAACGCATTTGACCAACAGGTCGAAAAACAAATGTTCTTAAACCCTGCTGACTGCCATTGGCATATGTTTGTGCCATAGAAAGATTTTTGCGATGATTCATAAACGGTAAAAACTAAACACATTTCTGGCTTTTGTGACGTACGTGTATGCAATTTTCAATGTGGTGCATTTAACAGGTTTATTTACTTAATGATTGTGTATTCGAACATACATATAAACAAATATAAATTGCAAAATGAATAAATAAACTGTATTCTCACAAATATACATGTCATGGTTACAGAGAAAATTTAGATTTAGAATAACAAAGTATAATTGGCATGTCCGATTAATAAACAAAATATATTTTTAAGGTGATAAAATTGTAGAACCGCAAATTTTAACTTACGCGGAATTACCCAGTTTAAAGTTTTGTCAATATCCACTTTCGGCCGTTACATATAGGTAAATTTGTGTGCAATTCCTAGAAAAGATTTTATTTTAATTGTAATTTATGTTCATTTAACTGGCAAATATATTTTATGTTGGACTTTTAAACAAAGCAGAATTAATTTCAAGGGAGGAAAAGAATATGATTGAGAAATCAAGGTACTCAAAACAATAGATCAAGCTCGAATAAAGGTAGACAAAGCTAAGAAATCTGCACTAGCAATTTTATGTCAGAATTGATAGATTTACCAAGTACTAAATGCTAATGAAATTTCCCAAACAACTATTTTATCGATGAACTAAAGTGTACTAAAATGAACTTAACACTACTGGATCAAACGCACGGCGTTTTTCCTTAACTACCTGAACCAGTACTGATCGATAATTAATCGCTCTCGGCGTACGGTAGCAAGAAAGGCACTACTCGACGGACAAAAAATTGGAGTTGATATAGCTTACATGCCAGAGAGGTCCAGGGCACTGGATATAGTGCAGAAAATATTGCCAAATGTCACTAAAATAAGTGTTCAAAATGAAGCAGATTTAACATTGTTTGGCTAAATTTCAGTTGAGGTATATATAAATGTTGGTGTAGACACAATATCCATTACATACTGATTATAAATATATTAGTTTAAACCTCACACATTCAACTAGTTCTAATTAAGACATGTGTATACGACACTGATTAAACCTTGCAATGTATTCGTTTGTAGCTAAATTTGTCATGTTGTTAGCAATTAAAAACTTTTATTATCTATTACCATGAATTGTATGATAAAATGATGCCCCAGTTCTCGATAAGTGCCGCTTAATGGATCTGATGCATAATCAAAGACTGTTCTTTGAATATTAACCGTTAAATCATGAATCTATCATCGATATATTCAAGAAAGGAATCGTACGAAAACGGAACGTTAAGAACAGAATTTGAATTTCGTATGAATAAATAATTTTACAGTAAATGGGAATTGGGGATCATGGTCTTCATGGACATCGTGTAATTCCAATTGTGGTTCTGGGAAAAGAAAAAGAATAAGACGATGTAACAATCCCCTACCAGCGTTTGGTGGATCATCGTGTATTGGAAAATCAGAAGAATCACATACATGTACTGGCAGTAGTTGTCCAGGTATACTCTAATAAAAGTTTGCTTCACAAAAGTCAATTGAAAGTTTGAATTTTACTGATATATCTCAAATACATAAATATATTAAAGGGGTTCAGGTATATAAGATAAAACTAAAAAGAATTGGTAAAGATACACGACGTATTTGGATGAAACAAATATAATTCATAAAATAATGAAAACAAGGTTTTATTTTTTCAAGCAATTTCAATTATGCGCACTTTTCAATGTAAAAGAACGGTTGACACTAAACAGTCAACCGCATAGATATGACAAGTATACAAAAGACGATTACACGTTTATATTATTGAATTGAACACGGTCTAATGTTTAAATGAGACTTGGTTTAATTTAACAACATACCTCACAAAGACTTACAGCCAGACAAATTGCCATATCAGGAAAGATAACTCTAACGACACAGACTTTAATTTTATTCATAATAGCATCGGATTAGAATGAAAGGTGTCTCATTGCTTTTTTAAAATCACTATTTTCCGCGTTTTATTGGTATCTGGAATATCCAAAAAAAAAAAAATCGAGATGATTTTAATTTTTATATCAATGACTTAATATTCTTTGCTAACAGTAAGAGGAAACTGGGGATCATGGTCAGCCTGGACAGGATGCAGTTCTAGCTGTAATTCTGGATATCAGACAAGACACCGTGTCTGTAATAATCCAGTACCATCGTCTAGTGGTTTATATTGTAATGGAAGATCTTTTGAAGTCCGTAACTGCAACCTTGCAAAGTGTCCAGGTAAATGTTTCATTAAATGGTGTAACTTGTCACAAAATTATACGAATGGATATAATCAACAACGTAACTAAACGTTACCAAAGTCAGATTTTATGAAAATTAGATATGACGTTCTTCTTTAGCCTTGGAAACAAATCGATGTTCTTATTCCTATAGAATATGGTGTGAACGCGATGGACGTCATAACTAATATTGTAACCTCAGTTATCCCGCATCTTTGTACCTTTTATGTGAAATAAAGATTACTTAACACTATTCAAAATTGGTAAAATACCGTTGCCTGCTTTAAATGATACCAATGTGAAAGCATGTGCCTTGCAAATGTAAACAATCGATTATTCATTTCACTATTGACATTTTGTATTTGTCAAAGATCAATCAAATCAACTAATTTCACTATGACATTTCTACAAGTTTTGTGATAGTCATCACTATGCCACTGCTGGACGTTTACTTTTTTTTAATAGCGTTACCGGTGTTGTATGTAAAAGAAAATCTTTATCCTCTGAAACAATACCTCTGTTTGGTGTTCCTGCAATTTCAGACATTTTCATTCCAATCTGTATCTCTATTTATTAGGTATTCACTACACTTTAGAAAAATAGCTTAATGTCATACTGAAAGGTATACTATTATTATTTTATGAAATGCATTTTATGTTCTGAGTGGAAATCTCAATATCTTACTTTTGTTAGTTGATGGAAGTTGGGGACACTGGAGTATATTGTCAAAATGCAGTGTAACTTGTGGTGATGGCTTTCAACAACGTACGCGTAATTGTGACAATCCAACCCCATCTTTTGGTGGATCTTCATGTACTGGAGTTGATAAATTACCTCTCCCATGCCGTCAGATACACTGTCCAGGTAATTTATTTTTATTGATACTGATTCGATATCGTCGTAAAATTTCGTTTATGTTGTTTGCTAATATTGCAGTCGGTAAACCTTATTAAAATTCTCAAAAATCGTTTAACCCTTTGTTTTATTAATTTATTAATTTTGTATTTACATTGTGTCATAGATCAAATTTATTTGTTCAGTGTATGTTCACTTGTTTAAGTTAATATGTCTTTTGATTAAGTTAAACCATTTCAATTGATATATTATAGTGAGTCTTTCTAAAATGATAACTATCTTTGTCCCCCTCATTGTAGCTTTGATTTTCCCTTGTTCATCAAAGAATGTTATATTTTCAAATACAAAACCAGAAATTTAATAAATGCCTATTATCAGCTCTATGTATAACAGTTATGATCGGTGTAGATAATTTAACACAAACACCAATTCGTTAAAGTTTTGAATGGCTGTAATTGTTGGGAACTGTTTGCACATTATAACTTCGAATAATACTATTTTTACCAGTTTTACTGAAATATTTTAAGTTGACGGCGACTGGTCAGAATGGGTAGTATGGAGCGTATGTTCGTACTCTTGTGGTTCTGGAGTAAAGACGAGGACTAGACAGTGTAATGATCCTTCTCCTACTTATGGTGGAGTTAGATGTATTGGAAAGAATATTGATTCAAATTTATGCAATACCTATAAATGCCCTGGTATGTGGATTCATTTCTTTTTTGGAATTTTGGAATGCTGCATTTCTAATTTATTTTTATTTTATTTTTTTTTTTTTTGTATGCGAGATATACTGAACAACAAAATAAATCCAATTCATTTGAAGATAAAACCTTAAATTACAATGTATTCTATATAACATATTTCGATCTGAAACAATGGCTAAAAGTCCTATACATTTAACAGAATTTTTCTAGTTTTAATGTAATTGATATTAATGATCATTTCCTTATTTCCTCCTACATGTGTGTTGTTATTGATAGATCAATATGTGTTCATTTTCAAAATTGTCGGTGAGTAAAATAAACTGTTATTAGATTCTTAGGAGCTATTAACACTTTAGAACCAGTTAGATGTTTGGTTCTGAAAGAACGTATACAAATAATATTGTGCTGCAACTTTTTTTTCATATTCCTCTTATTGGGGGATAAACTACTTCGGGATCAAAAGAAAGTTTTTCAGCATATTTGAACGCTTTTGATTTGCTGTAATTAATATCATTCTTAAAAAAATTGGTGAAAGTGTTTTTCGATGGATCATATAGATCCTTTCAATCAATGGTAATTCACTATTAGTGTGGTAAACTTATTTTAATGTGTAACTTTAGTTGATGGTGACTGGAGTAAATGGTCTTCCTGGAGTACCTGCACTGCCTTGTGTAACGGTGGAATTCAAGAAAGAGCTCGGACATGTGATGCACCAGCACCATCCAACCGAGGACATTATTGCAATGGAACAGCAACAGAAAGTCAACCTTGTAACAACGTCCATTGTCAAAGTAATGTTTGAGATGCTTTGCTTAAGCATCATGTTAAATCTAAGATATTCAATGTCTTTCAACATGCTCATGATATTCATGACAACAAAATAGTTTCACTTCGAGGCCTAAAAAATATGCAATATTAATTCCTTTTAAATAAGATTGCAAAAAAACAATTTCACTGCTACTTTATAACATGCTCCCACATAATTTTATAGCTACAACGAAAACATGGAAAAAACTCTTCAAAAGTTATTCGTGAGTTACCAGTTTTCGTGGATATTGTTGGTACAGGTTTGCAACGAACTGAATTAATAGATGAATTAAAAATAAAATTCTATTGGTTTGTTTGCAGAACTAAGCTCAACCACGAAATCAAACATCCACGAAAATGTCAGTGTTCCTTAATCAACGAAAATTGGTACCCATTTAAATAAATGAATCCACAATAATAAAGTACAATTCTATTCATATCATTCTGGTAGTTATTGTCTATCCTAGCATTACCTGTAATCAGAAAATATTTCTGATGTCGACAGACAGGTTTTCTATTTTGTTCTAAAAACTATCATATGCATATAAAGAAGAAGATGTGGTATGAGTGCCGATGAGACAACTATCCATCCAAGTCACAACGTTTAAAAAGTAAACAATTATAGGTCAAAGTACGGCCTTCAACACGGAGCCTTGGCTCACACCGAACAGCAAGCTAAAACGGGCCCCAAAAAGACTAGTGTAAAACAATTCAAACAGGAAAATCAACGATATAATCTATATAAAAAACTAGAAACGAGAAACACTTATGAACCAACAAACGACAACCACTGAACAACAGGCTCCTGACTTAGGACAGGTGCATACAAATGCAGCGGGTTTAAACGTTTTAACTGGCGCCAACCTTTACGCTAACCTGATACAGTGGTATAACATTACAACATAAAAAGACACACAATAAAATATCAATTGAAATGGCTTATCTCAGGTACATTTCATAGTTACAGTACAACTATTTTTTTTAAAGAAAAGCTAATTATAGTTTTGTACAGATTAGGTAGACATGTATTGATGCTCAATCTAATTTCAGTTAATGGACAGTGGGGAAGTTGGCAGGAATGGGACTCTTGTAATATAACTTGTGGAAATGGTTTCAAAAATCGATCCCGGAAATGTGACAACCCTTCTCCCATCTTCGGTGGATCTGAATGCGTTGGATTCGATTTCGATATTCAAAATTGTTCTCAAGACATATGCCCAGGTAATATCAAAGCTGTCGGTCATCAAACTTTACATAGTACTTCCAGAACACAATGTGTGCTCGAAACACCAAATCCAGGGTTTTGATTGGTGGATTTTTGTTTGTCTGTTTACATAAGCGTACTCCAAATGTTTAAATCTAAATCTAAAAGCCCAGCTTTTGTTCGTGTTATAAAGGAAAATGGTGGGTTAAACCTTGTTTAAAGCTAAATGTAACTAAACCTCCAACTTGTATGACAGTTGTTCATAGTTCAGTTATATTGACATAATAAAGTGAGCAACCAACACAGATATAATCGGTTACCGTGACACTAATAGCGAAGTTGTTGTTCTGTTGAATGTGGAGGTGGACTTTACTTGTTTTTATCTAGCAGTCCAGTGTGTGTTTTTCTAAACACCTTTCATTTAGCATTTTTAGTGTGGACTATTACATTTCAGGTGCTAAAAGACAGGGAAAAGAAGAGACATCAAAATTATTTTCCATTGGGATTCTTGGAGGTGTTGCAGCTGCTTGTATTGTTGTCACTGTTGTCATTATTTCCATAGTTCTCTTTGTATTCCGCAGATTTAGATATTGGCAAACTGGTAAGTTTGTGTAAATTATTCATTGATGAAGTACTAATCATTACGCTGCATGAAAAGGTAATGACAAAATTTATTCGTTTTGATGTTTTCGATTCTTATCGTATATATACTGTATTCTAGAAATCTAAGAGAAGAAAAAATTGAACAGCCGAAACGAGTTTCAACATTTTAAGTGATGTATTTAAGAAAAGATAACTCAATCTTTAGAAAAAGTATATCACCAAAAATAACACATACTAGTGAAAGAAATAAATCACAAGTACACTTATCCTACAGTCAGAGGAAAACAATGGTTTCATCCCTTCGAAATTCCCACTATATATTTCATCTAAAAACGCATATCTTTAAAACATTCTCAAAAACTTATTTCAGGTCCGATTTTGATCGTAATGTTACTGTTAAACTCATGAATGTGTACAGTTTTTTTATTGTTACATGTATATGAAATATTAAAATGACATATAATCACTGAGATTTCTGTATGCCAACTTTTTTTCGCAAATACTTTATTTCGCGTTCAGCCCTTTTTATCCGACTTGTGGAGATCTGATTTCGCAATTTTGAAATTAACTTGAAGTATTAAGATAAAGAAAGATCAAAATTGCGAAAATTAGTTGATTGACAGTATTTATAAACAAGTATTCAATTTAAACGACAGTTTTGACATATACTAGTATAGTCATACGTTCAATTCGTGCAAAAAAGATCTCATTTGTCGTTTTGTGTTTTTGTGGACTACTGTTTCTTCATTGTAAAAGGAGGGAATTATGTATGGCAAATATAGTCATAAGTCGGACAAAAAAGGCCAACGTTCTGAAAAAGACACACACAAAACAGTTCATTATACGGTAGCGAAAATTCAACTTTTAGCCAAAAATTATATAAATTTGTCTTTTATGATTTTTTTAAAAATCTATATTGCTCTGTGATATGTGATGTTTAAAGGTAAAACAAAACATTTTTAAACGTGTTACAAAATTGTATCTAGTTACTAAGGAAGCCTTGCAGATTCAAAGTGTAGGATGATGTAAAACAAACATACACAATCATACCTTAAAACTCATAGTCTCATTTACAATAGGGACGTACAGCAACAAATCCCAAAAAACAAGGTTCAATGGCATTTCATTAAATCTAAGATGCAAGTATGTATACTAGACAATATAGACAAAATATCACTAACAACTCTTGGTAGTTGTTCAGTTATTGATACCGTTAGATCTATTCTTTTATGATGATTTATATCATAGCTTAACTTGACTCACGCTATCTAATTTTTCAGCAAAAAGAAGGACGAATGGGACGTGAGTGTTATATTTTTGCTATTATGTTTTAATATGGTTACCAACATTTCTTCTTGCTCACTTCATTATCGTTGATACTAAATTCAGTTTCAATTCCTTGCACATTATTGTTGTCAATATAATGGAATTCTGTGCGACAAGTGAGAGGTTTGGCATGTTATCAAACCAGGTTTAATCCAACATTTTCTACATAAGGAAATACTTGTACCAGGTTAAGAACAATAGAGATGTATTCCATTCGTTTGATATGTTTGGTCTTTTGATTTTGCCATTTGATAAGGGACTTTCCGTTTTAAATTTCCCTTTAAGTTCGTTTTTTGTTGTTGTTATTTTATTTTTTATTCGTGACGCACTTCACTTGAAATTGGAGACGCCTTATGAAACATGCAATACCCAGTGAATTCCTGTCATCAGTATCAAGAATGTAGATGTGAAGAAGCATGGACATGTCCTTGAATCAATTTTTCACAGAACGGTTTGCTTATTTGATATATCAAGCACACCATAACACCACCAGGACAAACATTTCTATCATAGATATAAGAAGATGTGGTATATAAAGGCAACAGTAGTATACCGCTGTTCGAAACTCATAAATCGATAGAGATAAAAACAAATCCGGGTTGCAAACTAAAACTGAGGGAAACGCATCAAATATAAGAGGAGAACAACGACACAACAAAAACACACCATTAAAATGTAACACACACAGAAACGAACTATAATATAACAATGGCCATTTTCCTGACTTGATACAAGACATTTTAAGAAAAAAAATGGTGGGTTGAACCTGGTTTTGTGGCACGTTAAACCTCCCGCTTTTACGGCAACGTCAAACACAACACCAAAACGACAACATCAAATGACAGGATCACAATACAAATAAATGGGAGAACATATATGACAAAGAAACACACAAATAGTAGCTAACAAAAGGTACTAGGCTTAAATTCAATACGCCAGACGTGCGTCTCGTCCACACAAGACCAACCAGTGACGCGCAGATGAAAAAAGTTTGAAAGCCAAAACAAGAACAAAGCTGAAGAGCGCCGAGGACCAAAACTTCCAAAAAGTTGCGCCTAACACGGCCAGAGTTTTCTGCCTAGGACAAGAACATCCTTATTATTTAGAATAATTTAAAATTTTGCAAACAATAAATTTTATAAAATGACTATATAATAGATATACATGATACAACCGAAGTGGGGACTAACTACAGAATAAAAACGAATACATTACATAAAACAACTTAATTCAACACATAAAAATACACAGCCGAGTTAGCCAAAGCCTCAACGCACAAAGTGACATCACATTTGAAATTCTAAAAAAACACACAAAGTGACGTCACATTTGAATTTGTTAAAATATTTCCCAAAAATAAGATAGGATTAGGATTGATTCAAGATTAGATTTGTAATACTGACATTACATGAGTGCCAATGAGACAACTCTCCATCCAAGTCACAATTTGTAAAAGTAAACCATTATAGGTCAAAGTAAGGTCTTCAACAAGGAGCTTCGGCTCACACCGAACAGCAATCTATAAAGGGCCACAAAAATGACAAGTGTAAAAACATTCAAACATGAAAACCAACTGTCTTATCTATATAAAAAACGAGAAACGAGAAACATTTATGAACCATATCAACAAATGACATCCACTGAACATCAGGTTCCTGACTTAAGACAGGTGCAAAGAAATGTAACGGTTTAAACGTTTTGAAAGGCGCCAATCTTCACGCTACCTGAAACAATAGTGTAACATCACAACAAAGACAGACACACTATAAAATAACTATGTCAATGGTTTATGCGAACAATCGTTGTTTATTTGTAATTGTTAATCATTTTTGCTGCTTCTTACAGTTTCTGTTTCTATATGA